TAATGTAATATAGTGAATATAAACAACCCAAGCATGAAATGCGATCGCAATACACATGGGTGAAAGACGATTGGGTCTACGGTGAACTATAGACGCACTCAACTAAAACATATGATGACCCAGATAATCATGAACCAGCGATAACAATCTAGTTAGATCTTCAAACTAATTCAACAGTGGTGTGAGAAAATACAGAAAAGCGTCCGTAATATTAGGCCATTATTAAAAGGGTCGTGCGGCAGTCTTCTGTTTACAGCATTCAGTTATAAGATCAGCGATATGTTGCACTTTGGTATTGAGTGTGGATTATTTCCCTGATCACGGTGCTCGAAAAACTATACTACCCATAGTATAATACCTCAATGATCATATATAATATATATTTACATATATCTGGCCCTCTGGTCAAATCCGGGGTCAAATCGCATGGCATTTGGACTACCACGGGCCCGGAGAGGCATTGACCATCGATGTTCAGTCGTAGACTAGAGGTTGTCGCCTAGCAACCTGAGCTATCTATCATCTGAGAGTAGTGAGTGGTGTTAAGCGTCTTGTGCTCGTCTCGCACCAAGGATCGACATCAACACCGGGCTGTTCAGTCAACGGTATAAATAATATTATCAACCTAATATGTTGGTTCTATTGAAAGGGGACGTGTGTTTAAAGAGTAAGATGTGCCCGTGGAATAGAATATCTCCAATCTATAATATGGGTTTTACACTGGGTCGGGCCTACCTTCTGGGATTTCTAGAATGAGTAGCGTATTGCAGCCACAACTATATAAACTACGTTCCTTCTGCCAGTATTCACGCGCGGATTTATGGGGAGGCGCGCCGTGCCAAGAAAAAAATGACAAATCAATTGACAAACCCAGCCCACCGGAGGTCAACTTCGGCCACGTCAATAGGAGCGCCCCCCTTACCGAATGTCTGGATCCGCTAGTGGTATTTACTAAAACTCATGATGAGTTTACTAAAAATTACATTAATATGTAGATCGAAAACGAATAGCATTTCTGGCTTTCTTTTCCTTATTTTGAAGTTTGTTAACACGCAGTAAAATAAGAGAGGGTCCAGACTGTGATAAGAATTCCTCGTACATTTATGATGGATACATTGAATTTTATATAGTTTTAGTAGTGTTACTGAGTTCCGTGTTTGCCATCTTGACCATCACTGTGACACTGATTACTTCAAACGACTGCACACTAGGACAGAATTATGTCCAGGTAGCAGGTTGCTTAAAAAAATCGGGAGCTTAATCACTTAGATTCCAGAAAACTATTGTTTTGTTTATACAGTGTACGTTTATTACATTGTCTCGTAGCAAGCTACATCAAATGCCAACAACATTGTCGCAAATAGACTTAATTGCAGTCTGTTGCGATTCCGATGAAACATTCTTGAAAAATAAATATAAATTGCGCAAACGAGGGGGTGAACGCATAGAAACTGATGAGTTATAGAAAATGTGGTTGAAAAATACATGAACTAACAAATGAATTTTCGGACAGTGACCTACACACCTACATCCGCCAAACACATCCACTAAACAGATTCAAGAAATTAGCTAGGTGATATAACAAAAAGCAATAAACTGATGGCCAATCTCTTGATATTCAACTTGACAAGGTTTCATAATTTTCACTAGCACCGCTGTTCATATTTTGCGAAAATAATTGTTGGATTCAACAACGATTTTCTCGATATATCAGACTGTTCCATTTTTAGGTACTAATTGTACGATGAAAATTACAAATGCTGTTGCATTAATAATTCCGTTGATAAACATATTTTTGGTGGTTACGTATTACGACAAAACTCTTGATATTGGGTTGCACCTAGCACACGTTGTGAACTATAAATAATATGATGGTAGATTATTTGATAATCATTCTGATATTAGTATAAACCGATGTTTCAAGAACAAGTTTTACGTCAAATGGGTGAATGCAAAAATGTAAATCAGCGTATCAATGTTTGTATCCGCTGTTACGAGATACGGCGCTCAACATTTTTCTTCACATTTTTTACATTACATTACAATTAAACGTAATAAAGACAATACAATAATGTGGGTGAAGATTGGTTCCAACTACTAAACACTATCTATTGTGGCGTTTATAGGTAAACTTGCGCGCTTTCGCGCAGTTCGAAAATTGAACGAGAACTAAATATTCAACGGTTCCATTGGTAAATAATGTGTCTGCAAATATAATGTAACTATCATTTCCAAATCAAATACATGACAAGATGAGTTCTATAAAAACAAATAAATTTGAATTGAAGTTGGTGAATAGCCAAAATATTACCTTATTAATGTTAATAATGAGTGCACGTAAATTTTGTCCAGCCTCAGGCTTTCTACTACCCGATGGGAACTTGCAAATTTGAAAGTGCTGTTGTAGCATGGCAATATGCACTGTAAATCACCATGTTGTCGTGTACCAACATGTCGCACTTATGGGCATCTGTGAATTGAACCTACACAAATACCATCCTGATTTAAGAGCATTTATACAACTTCTTGGTTATAATTAAGTGTTGAATGTGCTGAGTACGTTGTCGCGAATACGTTGCGTTACAAGACACATTACAATTATCGCTTATATTTTGGTACTTATAATAATGTGTGTTCATCTGAAGCGTACGTGAGAATTATTGTTTTCATTGTACCCGCATCTTATCCCTTTTTTGTCAAACTGGTAAACTCAAAATATGTACCATGGGCGTGAAAGGGAATGCTCACCACGCCACGCCCTCAACGATTGAAACGACGGATTTTCAGCGCTCTTCTTTCCCGTGATGCTTCTGTCCGCCATAATGGTTGTGGTCGAGACCAGACGTTTGTTTCTCAACAGTTACCATTTGTGACCGCTCAACTTGATCCGTGAACTATAGGTTTTATAATCACCGGCGATTACCAATGGCCTGATCCTAATAATGCCTCGACGTAAACAGCAGAGTCCAAAACGTTTGAAAAGTAAGTACCCACGATCCCCAAATCGTCCGATCGTGTCTTGCTTGTTTTGTGTTTGTGTGTGTGACAACTTTGCCACTTTACTACCACTGAGATCATTCGTCGCATTGTCTTCTGTCCCGGCAAAGTGTCTCCGAATTGCTTCCCACACCATGTGATTCGGCGGTTTGTTACAGGCATGTGTACACCAGTGTCTCGTATACGTGTTATTTCGAAGATGACAAGGGGAAATCCGTTGTTTTTGGCGAGTCGTAAAAATGGAATAGACCTCGTTTTAGTAGTTACAAGCCGCACGATCTAGTTACTTCAACAGAATCCTCACCCTTACCCCATATTCTTGTAACTTGTATTATTTCAAAGCTTTATTTCTTGACCTTTTCATAGGTGACCATAGGGAAAACAAATTGAGTACCTTATGTTCATTTAACCCGGGGAAAATTCGATTTTCGTCGGTGCCCTTTGATGTTCAGACGCGGAAGTAAAGGGGTGATTTACATGTAAACAGAGCGCTCGCCTGTGAGTCTGTATAGGGTTCTTGAAGGTGAACTTCACGTGGTCCCTAAAACTGGGTCTCATCGGCGGGGGGAAGCGGGGAATCGAGAATTCCTTTGTCTGACGCAGCAACTGGGCGGAATTTTCCAGGGGCAGTCAGTCAGACATCTGCCTGTAAAACAAATGACGTTTCATGAGAGCCGTCACATCACCACTGATAGATTGATGTGGCGAACTGCGTGTGATTGATGGCTATTGACGAAGCTAGCATTTATGGATGCAAGGCCTGCCAGTTTGACAAATGGCGTGCTCGTTAAATGTGACAGTTTCATGCTCCCACCTATCTTTCCAGTGGCCCTGTTTCAGGAATATATTTGAAAAAAAAACTTGAATTCCGTTTTTTGTCTTCCAGTAGTAAATATGTGAAAGGCTGGGACTGACTTTACGTGACATGTCAATTCAATCACATGCTCCAAAGAAGATGGAGCCTACGTTTGTCATTGGGCTGATATTATTTAAATCACTGACAATTTATTCTGACCTGTCTGCCCTCTGTACAGGCTGCAAATGACATTTATCATAGTGGCTACTCTAATATTCACCATGTACCTCTGATGTTTTTGACCCTTGGTGTCAAGTCTGTGTATCATTATTCTGGGTACCCAAAATGAATGTTTTCTATTTTGTGAAACTTCCTGCTCGTATATCTTGTTTACTGACTTTTTTAAAACTGAATTATTTACACTGCGTCTTGGAGAACTGTCCTTTCCTTTCTTGATTGATGGCTCATGATAAGTTCATCCTGTTAAAAAAAAAAGATTGACCTTTCTTTAGTTTAAAAGGATAGGGTCACAGATTTTTCATTGGCAGGATGTGTAAAAAAAACAAATTATTTTACTTTTTTTTTTGACAATTGACACACTTCAGATTGATATTCTTCAGGTCATCGTCTGGAGGGTGAGGGGGTACTTGAGGTCGTGTCCAGATAGCATCCTTGGTCAGTAATGGTCCCATTGTAAACATCTTGAATGATTGATTTTTTTCATTGGTTAAACTATTTGCTCTTTTTTTTTCTTTCTGTTAAAATACAAAACCAACTATACTAACTGACCCTCCTCCCAAATGGGTCGTCGTCATTGCAAAAACTATTGAGAATCAGATAGGTAGTAAATTCCAGGTTTCGCAACATTGTATTAAGGTATCAGTCAACCTCATCAGTTCTGCTGAAGGGATGATTTATTTATGCGACAACACAGACTGACAGGCGCTTTTTGAAAAAAAAAGCTTTCCTTTTATGGTATTAGACTGAGAAACTGAGTATATTTGATCCCTATCAGGACTGTACAGGCTGATGGATAGCTTCGTAATTAGTAAAATGAGCTATTGGCTACTGTGTATGGCTGGTTTAATAAGTAAAAGCCATCTGTCTTAGGCGTTGCTTTTCATGTCAATTTTCCTCTCCATGGCAGTGCCTGGCACAATTATTATTCAAACAATGTATGCCAATCAATCACCAATGCACCTGTCAATCAATCCCACTTTAATAAAAAATGAACAAAAAAAAAGGCAGTTGATACTTCGGCTGCATCTGTGCTTTTTTTCCCATGTAATGCCACATTTGCACGAACAAAAACAAAAATGTATTCAAATGTAAAGTTGTCAATCACAAAATCAGGTGTCAATCATCTTCAGCAGATCTGAGAGCTTAAATAAAAATAAATTAAATACATTATTTGACCTTATGCTGGAGCCCAGTACATGTTTCATGGATTGTTGAAAACATTTAAATTTTTTTTTGGGGTATTATTTGGCTTAATATTTCAAGATTAATTTTTATACTGGTTGCTATTAATATATCATTGATTGACATTTTGGATGTAAATATATCGTAAATACTTTTCAATTTCTACAATTTGTAGATATGCAAATAATAATCTTGTTTTTGTTTGAGTTATATTTATTAAGCACAAACAATATTCTTGGTGGAAAAAAAAATGTTTTTGACTCTCATTGCATGATAATGAATCATAGTTTTATTATTCAATACTGGGGGATATCTTTACCATATTGCGTAGACAAATATTCACTTCCAATTCCCGTTACCGTAGTTAAAATCGTAAATCCTTCTGTATTTGCAATTTGTTAAAGCAGTCCTTGAATACTATTTTAATGTTATTTAAGTGTCTTAGTGCTGAATAAAAAAAAAATTAAATTAAATGTGACTGGAGTGTTTTGACAGGTGGTGGAACCATTCAGATCTATTAAACAATTATGCACTGACTGCCGGCTGCTTGTGTGTAGAACAAAGCATCATGGTATAGAACTATGTGAACGGTTTGTTTATATGTCTGTGATTTTTCAGTACTGATTTGTTTATAATAATTGGGTCATTATATTTCTTTCAAGGTTAATAATTTGATGTACTTGCACTTGACAACAAGTGGTTCAGAATCTAATGATGCATGCTATGTAAATAATTCTTGAACAATCCCCTGGCTGATTGTTTGTCAAGAGAACATTGTGTAAATCAGTAAATTTTGGCTGCTAAAAATGTTTGTCTTTTGATAATTTTGATAGGAGAAGATAACATTTAATGAAAGTAGCTGTGACTCCCTAGGACCCTGGTGAAAATCACTGTGATCCTTTGTTTTAAGTGAGGGGTTGTGTATTAGAAAATTTTCAGTTGATTTTCTTTTTGGATTAAAAATACAATGCGAAAGACCCTTGTCTAATCTTCACTCCTATTCTTAAATTTTGTCTTACATTTCTATCTTGACTTGCAGAATTTGTGAATTTCTTGTGAAAATTAGTTCGTTTTCAGTACAAATGTTTCCACCAGAAAAGAAAAAATTTGGGTATGCAGCATCCTTTCAAATAAAAGACGTGAATGCGCTGTCAAAATACTGTTACATACTGTAGTATTATTACTGTTCAAGTGTACCTATTGTTGACCTTTCACCAGTGAACTTGAACTTGAGTATTAAAGTTCAATGGCTTTTGAAATTCTTGACCTCTGTGCTATAAATCTAGGTCACTTTGTCAGTTTAACAGTGCAAGCTTTAGAACACGAGTAGATGTGAATAAAATATTCTTTTTATGAAAGTTTTGATTTAATTACTTGCAGGAATATATTTGTCCTGACTTTGAAACCTTATGGCCTTTTGTTAACTCAATTTACAATTCTTGTTCAACTCTTGATACCTGAGCAGATTTCTTGGCCAATTAAAAAATATCTTTCAAGTGAGATTTCATTTGTACATTTTAATGTCAGAAGACAGAAATGAATTGAAATCCCTTGCAGCCTTTCTTTTTCATTCCCTAAAATTACTTTATGAAATTTATAAACACAGTGTGTGACATTATTATTAGTATTTTGGACCACAGGCCTTTGATTGCAATAAAGACATTATATTATAAAAATTATACATTTTTCCATGCAGGTGTGTCAAGCCATTTGATTGGTTACTGGTTTTGTTTTTGTGGCTTCCATGATCAGTCACTGAATGTGCCACCAAAAAAATTATAATAATAATTATAAATAAATAACATAAAATAAGATAAATAACAAAAATAACATTTGATTAATATTGAAGGTTCCTTAGATATTGACCACAGTATTCTTCTGCAATATGAAATACCACAGATGTCTTTAATTATTAAGGAATGTCAGTAAAAATGAAGTAGACCATTCAGAATCTTTAATGCATGAACTTTTGAGAACAGTCTATTTCAATATCATAATAAAATTAGTGGTCACCAGTCTTGGGTGTGTCCCTAAAGTTCACCGTTTGACCCAGTTTTGTACAAAGTGGCCACTTTTTCTGGCATAGCCATATTTGTGCTTAGCATAGAAAACTTAGTGCTCATAGGAATAAATCTGGCTACCCCTTGAAAACTAATTTGTAGTCTGTACAAAATGGCAGGAAAAATTAAGCTTAGAAATAATTTATTTTGTGAATGTTACAGTGTTCGGTTCAGCAAAAGGATGGTTGGTTGGGTGGGTGGGTATTATTTACATGTATGAAACAAACATACTTTGAATTAAACCTTATTCCCTGTGATTAGCTGTTTGAAAGTTTGAAGGAAAAAAACTTATTAATTTTATGACCTATTTTCAATTCAGAAGTCCACAAGAGTACTTTTTAATGTTATAGAGTAATCGCAAAGCATAAGTTTGGGTACCCCCAATTTTTATTTGCTTTTTGTCATTCAATTGATGCAACATCTCACTCACTGACGAGTTTACGATGATTTCTATTGCATTATGGTTGTGGACGAGATGTGGAATGATGTCAAAACAGTGAATGCACCTCGAGTTCAGGTTCATGCACATGCCAGGTGAATGAAAACTTCAATTCAACAAAAATGTTTGGCTGTTCAATGATTTACTTTTGAGTCGAGTTTTTACGCACCATGCCATGCTTGTCTGTCGTTTGTAGTAATGTACACTATGAATGGTGCTGTATTACTACTGACGTAACATACACAAGCTGTGCCTTATTTGTTTTACT